GGGGGGGGGGGGGCTACTTGCCCAATAATCCACGCCTCAACACGTCGGGTGCGGGAACGACAGGAAAAAAGAACTCCACCTTTCGCTTAAAAATATATGCCGAGGAAAAGAAAACGAAAGGCGTTCAGGTGAACACGTGGCTAAACACGCGTACTGGTGGCCCATCTGCTGGCGGCGCCCGCGGCGCCCGCCCAAGTGTGCAGCCGAACTCCTTACATAAATACAGCGCGCGCTCCCGCCGTCGTTCGAACCGCGGTCCGTATGGGGATCAGGCGACGGGAGGAAAAGGAGGGAGGGGGCGTGCAAGGGTCGTGTGCAGTCAAATGCATACATTTCAGACAGCCACTTATTGGCACACCGAAAAAAGGGGGTAGGGGCTCGCTACCCCATGAAACAGCGCCTGGAGGTGGTGCCTGCATCAGGAAATGTTTCCATCACGCGGAGTGTGGGCCCGGCCGGTCGGGCCGCGCGACCACCGCCTCGCCGCCCCCTCCCCCTCCCCTTCCCCGCCCGCGCCCCGTCTGCCTAAAAACTTCCACTGTGAGTTGACGCAGGTGTTGATAGGGCCTCCGGCTCCGCCCGGCCGAGCTCCGCTGCCTCGGCTCGGCGCGTCAGCGGTGGCGCCCCGTGAAGATAAACTAAGGGCAGGCAGGGCAGGCCGAGCAGGCCGAGCAGGTCGTGGCGGTGTCCCCAGGGCTGCCCTGGGCGCGGGCGGGAGAAGGGAGAGCGTACCCGCCGTCTTCAGCGCGAGGCCCGTCGTCGAGGCCGCCCCGACGCGACATGCCCGCAACCCCGGTCGCGTTGCGGAGGACTGGTCGACCGGTCGCCGGCAGCGTTTCTAAATTCGTCCTTCGCGGCGGCGCGCCAATCGCCGGCATTGTTTCCGGCCCCCGGGAGGCGCCACGCCGCGCCCCGATGGTCAAACTTTCACGTCGACGTGAAAAGTAGATGAGCGCGGGCGGGTGCGCCTCCGCTGCGCACGGCCGCGGCCCGGCTGCGGCCCTGGCAGCCAAGGTCGGGCCGCCGGACTCACTCTTTGATGAGCCGATGAGCCGCGAGGAATGAATATCTGACGAGCGGCGGGAAGGGATGTGTCGCGCGCGCGCGTCGCGACTCGCGCCACTAATCTGCCTCTTGTGCAAGTTTGATGTCGCGCCGCCACATTCTCGATGGCGGGACGTAAATATCATCACGCCTTTCGCACGTGTGGGTGAGGGGGGGACTCGCCACTGCAAGCGCTTACCGCTTGCAGAACCATTCTATTTCAGAGCTTTCGGTCGCCTCGCTGATTCGACCGGCTTTCTCGCGCTGCCGAGGCGGCGACGACGGAACTCGTCTCCTTCCGACCGGAACGTGACTGGCCCCTGGCCCTGGCGCGGGGAGGGGTTGGAGCCGCGGTGAGGCGAGGCCTGTCGAGGCGTTCGAGATCTCGACAGCAAACACCGAGGAATGGGTGCAGCGCGGGGAGGAGGGCAGAGCAGTGCGGCTTACACGCCGAGCCGATGGTCGCTATGACCACCGACCAGATAGAACGGTGGATGGCGTCAGTTCGCATGACATAAGCGACGTTCTCTCTCCCTATCTCTACCCCTCTCGTTTTCAGCACAAAAATTAAGACGAAAAGTGAGCGGCACCGAGACTTCCCTCCCCATGTCGCGGCCACTCACCCCCAGCACCAACACCGCCAGCACCCCAGATGGGGGTGGAGGGGGAAGTCCCACACGATGCTCTGCTCTGGGGGAGGCGGCGCCCGCCGAGAGAGCAGCAGAGAGCACTTGGACCCCCGCTGTGAGGACGACACTGAGCACCGCAAGTGGCCATCCCGCCAGTCCTCGACGCGGCACGCCCCCGCAGCCGATACACTCCTCGGCCAACATTTCACACCACTCCACCCCGCTCCCCTCCCCTTTCCCCTCCCCTTCCCCCCCCCCCGCCACACCCTCGCCTCGCCGTGACGCTCGCTCGCTCCTGACGCATCCCTCCTGTTGGTGTCGTGACTGACGCAAACGCACGCATGAGCTTCGCTCGCCTCAAAACACTCTCGTGACACGGCGGCCGGACACAATGAAGAAAACCAGCAAAACAGACGGACGGGCACGCACGCTCGCCGCCTCAGCGGCGCACACGACCCGAACTGCTCGCGCAGCAAAACGCAAACTACGCTTCGGGAAAGGAGTTCGGAATCTGCCCCGCCTCGGAGAAATACTGCCTCCTCCTATGTCCCTAACCTTGAAACCGCATAAAATAGAAACAAGCCAGCCTCTATCGCCGGACTATCGAACAACTGGCGTACAGAATCGTTCTTGCAGGACTCAGGCTAGGCCACCCGCCCAGGACAGCTGCATCCCGGGCAACGGCCTGCCTACCTACTAGGCGCTACCTCAACTTTTAGTACAGAATCTCTCTCTTTCCTTTCCTTATCTTATCTTTTCCTTCAAATTTTTTAAAACTCACGCCCATTTTAGGACACAAGCACCGTGGAGCGCCTGCTGGAGCCCAAAGGCACCAGGCCCAGAGGGTGCGTCGCACGGGTAGCACGTAAACAAAGACAAACGGCACACGCGGCTCAGGTGGAAAGTAATACATACAAGGGCTTGCAGGTGCTGGTACTGCTCAGCCCACGCTACAGCAGGTGCTTATCTCCGGGAAGGAGGAGAAAGGGGGAGGGTAGAAGGGGGGGGGGGCTGCTGACGGGCCTTCTGGTGTCGCTTAGTAGGGGCGCTCACGGGCCGACAGTAGTTCGATCACGTCGATGAAGCCATTATCCTGGCGGCGTTACGAATGCTCCTCGTTGAATACCGTATGAGCTCGCCGTGTGGGGCCCGGTGCCCCGCCCGGCGCCCCGTGTGTGATAACATGCGGGTGATAAGGGCCGCGCCTATCCGTGTCAGGGTCGCGGGGGGTGGGGGGCGGGGAGGCGGCCTCGGCGGGGAACCGGGCCCTCCTGGCCGGCGGCCGGCACCCCACCCGTCCCCGGCCCGGAGCGCAACGTCACCACCACGGTGTACAGAGACCGTGCTCGCTAGACACACACACTTCAGCGATGCCCTGGGCGTCACTGAAAAGTGTACCCCTACTGCCTACTTCGGGACACATGAGGCGCGAACAAGAACAAAAAGAATCAATGCGGCGCCTTTCTCGGGCTGCGACCACTAAAATATTGCCCGGGATGACGACGCCACGGCAATCGAGGCTCCGTCCCCAATCGATATGAATCTCGGTCGGAAACTTGACGCGACAGTGACAAAAGTGTGCGGTCCGAGAAATGGAACACATCCTCCTCCTCCTGACAGCACCCCATGATGGATGGCGGCGCAACTACAATGGAAATCGATTTTACACCGAGGGCGGCCCGTCTGCCTGCAGAGACCAGCTGCGTTTCACAAGTCCGCCCCAAAGTAACCCCAACTGACCCAAGGCCTTAATCTAGTGACGTGACGTCATTGTTGACTCACCTGCTAAACAGTGGGTGCCACAGGTGCGCGGCGGCCACGTCGTCTGGAGGCACGGCGGGTGGCGGGACGACCGGCGTGTCCAGCTTGAGGAGCCTGGGCTTGGCGTTGGGGTCCACCAGGTTCTTCACCTTGAGCTTGGGAGGCCTCCTCTCCTCGGGCTGGTCGCCGGCGCTGGCGCTCGCGCTGGGCGGGGTCGCCAGGCCCTCCGACGACGGCCTCCTGCTCCCCGACAGGTCGAGCACGGGTGCTCCGGGTAGGCTGGACGCGGCCGTGGCGGACGGCGCGGCGGGCAACGGCGACGTCGCGGTCGCGGCGGCGGTCGGCGAGGGCGCGGCGCCCGGCGAGGGGCTGATCCGCGGCCCCCTCAGGCCCAGGGCGCCGCCGAGGGGGCTGCCCAGGGCGGCGAGGAGGGCGCTCTCCGGAGCGGCCGGCGAGGGCGTCCTCTGCTTGGCCTCCCGCTGCGCGCTCAGCATGTTGAGCAGCGACTTGCACGTGGGCGGCCGGCTGCCCTCCGACTTCCTGGCTCTTTCCGACTCGCAGTGTTTGCTGACACGCGGTTGCTGCTGCTGCTGCATGGAGTACATCTGCTGCTGGCGCTGCTGCTGCGCCAGGATCTCCTGCTGGAGCTGCAGCTGCTGGAGCAGTATCAGCTGCTGGTGGTATTCCTGCTGCTTCTCGTACTCCCGCCGTTGCTGTTGTTGCTGCTGTTGCTGCTGCTGTTGATGCTGTTGCTGCTTCTCGTACTCCCGCCTCTGGTTTTGTTGCTGCTTCTCGTACTCCCGCCGCTGCTGCTGCTGTTGCTGCTGGTACTGGTACGGTCGCTGCGGGGCGGCGAACAGCGCGGGGCTGTCCCTGTCCCTGACGGCGTCCCTGACGGCGCTGGAGGCGATGGGCAGCGCAGCCGGCACGGGCCTGGACCTGGCCTGCGGGACGGGGGGAGGCGGGGCGGGCTTGACGAAGCCCGGACCAGCCGGGCCTAGCGGGGACGGAGTGGAGTAGGCGGCACTGTGGTGCCGGGGCGTCGACGGTGGCATCGGGGACGGCGACTTCCGGGCCGACTTGGCTGGCTGTGGCGACACGGACGGCTTCTTGTAGTAGTTGTTATTGTTGTTGTTGATGAACGAGTCGAGGCTGCCACCCTTCATCATGGTTTCCTGCCACGCAGTGGCCAGTGCACTCTGCAGCTCCATCTGGCTCTTGTAGTCGTAGCCGGGCAGGTAGCCTCCCGGGTACGAGTAGGCGGCCTCCAGGTAGGGCAGCCAGAGCATCTGCGCCTCGAGCAGCTGCCGCTGGTACTCCTCCACGGCGAGGGCCTGCTTGCTCTCGGGCTGCAGCAGGGTCTGCAGGTGGGACAGCGAGACCACGCACAGGTCGTTGTCGAGGCTGGGCGCCGAGTACGGCACGCCGGGCTTCTCAGGCTTCTGCGCGAGCAGGCGGGGGATCTCCTGCGCGGGGCTGGTCACCAGGGCCTGCAGCCGAGCGCGCGGCACTAGCAGCGGGTCCGGCACCACCAGGTCTGGGTCGGACAGCACTTGCTTCAGCTGCGCCAGGGGGTCCATGTCGGAGACGGTCAGCAGCTCCATGAGGCGCGACTTGCCGTCCTGGCTGGGCCGCTTCTGCTTGATGCGCTTCACGTCCTCCACCGGGCCCTGGCCGCTGCCCTGGCCGGCGGGCTCCCCTGCGGGCTCGCCGGCCGGCTCGATGGGGGACATGGCGGTGTTGCCGGGCAGCCTGTTGAGCAGGTTGCGCAGCGTCAGGTCGTCCAGCTTGGGCCTCTTGGCGGGAGGCGCTGACGTCGGCGGCGTCCGGGGCCGGTCCGGCCTGTCCTTGGCCTGCCGCACCGGCACTCCAAGGTCCAGGGGGGCGTCCTGCTCCAGGTCTGACTTCCTCGGCGACGCCAGCAGCGACTCGAGGAACTTGTGCTGGGGCTTGGGCTGCTCGCTGATGGGGGTGATGGTGGTGGCCGCGCCCAGGCGGAGCGGCTCGGGGCAGAGCAGAGCCGGGCTCGTGCTGAGCTTGAGGCCGGCGGCCGCGCCACCGCCCTTCACCAGCGACACCTCCAGGTCGGCGGGCAGCCGCACCACGTGCTCGGTCTCGTCGAGGTTCAGCAGGTCGTACACGGAGCACCTGCCCAACGCACTCGCTGCCTTGTCGTCCTCCTTGCAGAGCTCCTGCTTGGCCTCGGCCTTGGGCTCAGCCTTCGGCTCAGCCTTGGGCTCAGCCTTGGGCTCGGCCTTGGGCTCGGGCTTCAGGGTCCTCAGGTCCTCGAGGGGGCCGCCCACCTCCATAGCCTCTGCCGCTTCGTTGCAAAGGGCGTCTAGGACGTCCTCCGGCCTCTCTTCTTCACTATGTACATCTTTGGTAGGCGCGTTATATTCAAGACATGGTTCGACTTCCGTGTCTTGGGCGACTAGACTTAGAGGGGAAGTTGGTGTTGGCACTCGTTGTTCATCCCTGGGTGGATCAGTCTCGACGGTTTCCTTTGGCTCGTTTGCAGTCGTGCATTCTTCGGGAGGGGGTTCCGTCTCCATTTCCTCCCCCCTTACTCGCCTCTCGCTCTCCTCTTCCGCCCCTCTCTCCTCACCCTCCTCTGCCTCTCTCTCCTCTTCTGCTTTCTTCTCCTCTGCTTCCTCCCCTCTCTGCTCCTCTGCCTCTCTCTGCTCCTCTGCCTCTCTCTGCTCCCCTGCCTCTCTCTCCTCCCCTTTATTCTCTATCTCCTCTTCATTTTTCCCCTCTATCCGCTCCAATGCCCCCTTCTCCCCATTCAGTTCTTCTGTGACATCCCCTTCATGTTCTTGTTCACCGTTTTCTATCTCTCCAGCATTTTCCCTCACAGCCATCTCTTCCCTATCCTCGATCTCATCGCTTCGGTGACTCGAGTCTTCGTCAGCCGGTGACTCTTCGTCCTCCGAATTGACGCTGCCTTCCGACCCCTCAAGATGGGCCTCGACCGCCTCCACTTCCGGTTCGGGCTCGTCAGGCACTTCCGGTTGGACAGTGCCCGCTCCTGCCTCGCCCTCTCCGTCATCCTCATCCTCCTCCTCAGCGTCGCCCTCTGCAGAGGAAGCGGTGTGGGACTTGTCGTCCTCAAGCGACGGCCTCTGCCTAGGTCCGAGCACAGCGGAGAAGAGCTCGGTCTTGGGGATGGACCGCCAGCCGTTTGTGGTCTTGGTGAGCGTGATGCGATTTCGCCTATCATAGTCCTCGCACACCACTGAAAGGATCCGGCACTCCTCCTGCTTGACCCAGAGGAACACCGGGTTGACCCTGGGGCTGACCGGCCCCTCGGCGTGGCCGACGTTGTCCACGGTGAGCGAGAGCGGCCCGTCGCGATGGTGGTGCCGGCGCCGGCGCCGCTTGTGCTTGTGCTTGTGCCGCGACCTGGACCGGGTCGACCGGGTGTCGTCGTCCCTCGACCTGCTCGACCTGGACCGGCTGGACCGGGTCGACCTGGACCTGGCCGTGCGCTGCTTCCTCCGCCGCGTCCTGGACGCCGTTCGGCCCTTGCGCCGGGCGCGCCGCTGTCGTCCGCCGTCGTCCGGGAGGGCCGGCGCTGCCGCTGGCGCAGGCGAGGCGACGCCATCGATCGCGGCTGGTTCCTGGTCCGGCCGCGGGGAGCGCTGCTCTGCCGCGCCGCCCCCCGCCGCCCCCTCCGCGGCGCGCAGGCACAGCGCCTGGTCCGCGCCCGCGCAGCCCGCGCCCTCAGTCGGCCCCGGCACATGTACGTCGCCGGTTTGTTGACAAACGTCAGCTGCTCGGAAGGGCGAATGAGGCTGGCCGATGGGCTGGCTGTTGTCGTCCAGCAGGTTGTCCAGCAAGTCCCTCAGGTTCTCCATGTCTTCGTCGTGCACCACACGCACCTTGGCGGGCTCGGTGGGCGGGTCCTCCACCTTGTCCACCACACCCGCGACTAGCTTGTCGAGGAAGTCCTCCACCTCCTCCAGCACCTCTCCCTCTCCATCCGACACGGCTCTCCCGGGCGGTACGGGGGCGGGCCCCTCAGGCCGCCCCTCAGGCCGCGACAGGGACCCACGGAGCGAGCCCCCATCGTGTTCCAGAAGGCCCTCGGCCAGCTGGCCCCCGCTCATGACGAGCCACTCACACTGCCAGCAGCGAGCATGCTGGCTGGCCACACACTACACAAGCACTGTAATCCAATGGTAATCCAAGGGCGTCGACGTAGCTGAAAATGACACTCACTCGCGCGCACAAACACAAGACCAAAACAAAGCAGATGTAGTCCCGGGCGGTAGCACGCTCCTGTACGCCTTGGATATCAACTGGCACTGCGCGGCCAGCGCGGCCCCGCCGCCACCGCCCCGCTCCTCCGCCCGCGCGCCGCGGCCGCCCCTCCCCCGGGCCCCACCCCGCTCCCCGCGCACCCCTCCCCGGCGCCGCGGCCCGTCCCGAGCCCTCCCGACGAGGCCCGAAGGCCCGAACGGCGGCACTGCACTCGGAAGAGCCGCACGGGGGGAGGGCGCGGGGAGGAGAGCGCGGCGGCGGCCTCCATTGGCTGCAGCGGGCAGGGGGGCGTGGCTTCCAGAACTTTCCACCCCTCCCCCCTAAGGCCGAGCTTCACCCTCTGGAATCGCACGCCGACACTAAAAATGCTAAGACAGGACGACGATTGCTCGCTATTTGTGTTTCCATGCGCACTTCCGCCGAGCTGCCCCGGCCGGCCCAGCCCCACACCTCCGCGAGCTGATTGCCCCCATAAGTCCCTCCCACAGCCCTTTGTGCGACGGCCAAATGAAAGCAATTAAAGTCCCATTGCGGCGAGCGCGGCCTGCAATTTCGGTCACTGATTGGGATGGCACCCGGGCGGCCCCGGCGAGACTCGGCCCGTGAAATTGGAAATAACAAAGGCAAATACCTGCAGTTTATGCTGCAGCAGCATCGGCGCCTCAAATAAGACCCTCGAAAGGATAAAAGCCCGCCGGGTAGGGGTGGGGGGATGCAGGGGGGGATAATTGCTTTGAATCTTCTCGATTGTACGACCGGTCGAAAAAGCTGCATGCGAACAAACGAGTTGGCGCGGCATTCGCGGCTGGCGTGGACAGTGTGCGCGCGTCCGAAGTGACCAGGCCAGACCACGTGGGCGATGGAAGGAGGCAATTACAACAGACACCCGGTGTACCTATCGGCCGCGTTCAAGGCCGCTGGGCGCCACGCGTCACGCCGGGTGACCACCGCCGCCTCATAAAGCCGACAAGTGCACCCAAGGCTGCCCAACGCGCCGAAACAAACGAGAGGAGAAGAAGAAGTATCGCGGCAGAAAAGTGAAAGAGGTTTACTTGGGAGGGAAGGCCCGCTCTGAAGGGTAGCACCAGCAGCGGCGAAGAGCGAGTCGAGGGCGCCCGCACTAATTGAACTGGGGAATCAATACAAGACGCTCCATCCATTCGGAGGGCGGCCTACGCGACGGCTCACACTCGTGCTCACACGCACACACACGCCCCCCGCCTCCCTCCCCCCTCTCACCACGGTCAAAAGGGAACCAAACGCCAGTAGGCGCTGGCGCAGATATTAACTTTTTCATTCTTTTCCTTTTCATTTCTGTGGATGACACTACCGTTCGGGAGGATGCGGGCTCGGCACGGCGCGGCAGCTGTCCGTCAGAGAGCGCGGCCGGGCGCTGCAGGCTCGGCTGCAGGCTGCAGGGCGCCCGCGGCCCGCGTCACGTCGCCCTCCACGCAGGACAGTCCTCTGATTGCTTCCGCCGGGTGAAATGCTGCACGCAAACTCACTTATTCTTCGATATGCATCCAACACCATTTCCGGCCTCATTTGCGTGAACTGCCCGGCCCGTTTTGCTGCCCCGTGATTGCAAAAGCAAAAGTGCGTTGTTGCACAGTCGAGTGCCAAACACCGGCCGCGACACACACGACGGCGACAGTGTGACCGCCCAGCATGACGGACACCGCCGGACAGTCGGACACTCACTCTGACCGCAGAAGAGCTTCAATTAAGGCGCCGCGTCCCTATTTCCGATCCTCGTAACATTTTCCAAGCGCAGAGTAGACGTGATAACGATCACCATCAAGCAGGCACCGCGTGGTAAAAAGGCCCCATACGGCATCAATCCATCCCGCAGCAGCGCAGCAGCGGTGGCCAGCGAGATCGTAAATTGCAGTCGTATAGTGCCGGGCGGCCGCGAGGGGCGCAGCCGGGCTGCCCGGGGGCCTGCATCGTGTGCATTGTATGTGACATGTTTCCTGTGGAGCGGCAGCCCGGCACGGCTCGGCCGCACACCCGCCACTGCACACCGTGCACTTGTTGTTCTCTACTCCTCGTCAACACATCAAAAATCCCCTCGACAAACGGGGAGATTGCCGGGAGGAAATTATTATAATTATTTGGCTGCAGCGCCCTGAACTGCCAACCGCTCGGCGTCGGAGCGGACGAGCGAGCGCACCCGGCACCCGTTTGCTGCGTCCGCTCCGAGTGGACCCCCCTGACTCGCTCCAGGCCCGGCCATGGTATGACTCGATGACTCGGCGGTACTGTCCGCCCAGCAGCGCGCTGCAGCGCCGCCTCTCAAAACTGACGGTAAACTCCGGACCATTACGGAGGAAAATGACGCCCCCCCGGTCCTGTCAATGGTCCAGCCTCTCCGTCCAGCCGCTCCACTGCGGCCCAGCGCCTGGCGCGGCCCCATGCCGCGCGCGGAAGCGTTGATGTTGCCTACGCGCACGGCGCTCTACGGAGCTCTACGTATAAGAGCCACAGCTTCTACCCGCCCAGACTGGCCCAGACTGGCCGGCGTCTCGGCAACTGGGGCCCGCAACCTGCAAAAGAAATGCAGGTGAGGTGGACGCTGGACGCAAACACGTGAAAACAACTGGAAAAATGTACAACTGTCAGGTTCAAATAAAAGATTCTATGGGATATCCAAGAGTTCTGCCTCTTAGGAGTCGTCGATCGTTCGAACGCTGTAAACACGAAAGTCATGTTTCTCGTTTACATTCAGTGACGTGTCTTAACATCGCCCAGATTGAACGACATGATTTCTGCATCGCTCAACGAAAGTGACATGGCTGCATCCGTATCCCCCCCCCCCCCTAATCATGAAACCATAGCTAAAGATACAAATATTTTAAGGTACAAAGTACAAGGCAGATGTACGCCCGACCACGTCACGCGTTGCAGGCTTCCTGATATCTCATGAAACACTGTTACGCGCAGGGCATACGTCTGCCTAACGGCCGTTTTCTTCCGACCAGACTCAGAAATGGGTTTCGCTAATCGCTCAGCAAATCAGCCAACAATATCCCTTAGAATGGAGTCTTATGAGCAATTCAACAAAAAGTACAACGATCATGTACCTCATTTCTACAAACATACCGTCCATTTGTCGTACGAGGTCGCTGATTCACGCCGCGCACTATCGTAGCTATACTGTACCGCACGCACGGTTACAGGCTGGTTTGTCTATGCTCGCTGACCACGGCTCCTTATAGCACCGTTCGAGTAGGCAACCCGTCCGCACGCGTGCAAGCGGTACAGTATAACTACGAAAGTGCACGACGTAAATCAGCCACCTGGTGCTTAGGTAGAATATTTTTGAAAGTTTAGTGGAAAGGGCATAAGAGGTTCGAGTCAAAATCGTAATATGTGGACTGCATGCCTTAGTGTCATGTCCCTGCTTACAATGACTAAGTGCGTGTAAGTGCTTGACACTTGCAAGTGTTTAACCTGGTAGGTGTGCACTTGCAAGTGTGCAATCCTCGGTTGAGCATTCCCTACACAGGAGCATTCAATGTAAGGGAGTGTTTACCAGAGAAAGTGCACACATTCAAGGGCACACCCACCGAGTTAAACACTTAGAAGTGTAACTACAGAGTTGCACACTTGTAAGTATTCAGTTGCACACTGCTAAACAGTTGCACACACTTAAAGTATCAGTGCGCGGCGTTCTGCCACGTTGTCGTCGAAAAAAGTTATTACATTTCTCTCCCGTTCTCTCTGTTCCCAAAACATTACGATCATTTCTGGTCGGGCTAATGATGCGGTCTGCTTGTGTTGCGGGACCGGGGGGGAGGGGGAGTCGCACCCGGAGAGGGAGGGCGCCCCGGGGAAAGGGTGGGTGGCGCCGGCCTACCAAGGGGTTGCGCGGCCGAGCAGGGGCGGCCAGCGGGGTGGAAAAGAGCGTTTGCTGTTAAGAGGGTACGAGCATATGCTGACCACGCTGCGCAGACCACCGCGCGTCGCGGCAGGGGTGCGGTGCAGTGCGATGCAGAAAGAGGGGGAGGAGAGGGGAAGGAGAGGGGAGTGTTTGGGTCCACGTCATGACCTGAGGACTCACCAAAGGGTAACAATGGAAGACGCGTAATGCGCAAAAACTCGAATGAGTGAGAGAGACACACACTAATTTCCCTATGGATGTGCTATCCGTATGTTATGGAGAATTTTGTGCTAACATATAATGGATCACAAATTATCCATAATATGGATAACATTATCCGTATTACAGACAATTTGATCCATATTACAGACATGCCCTCCTCCGTCCATACCTTACGGACGAGTCCGTTGGGAAATGTGCATGCATGAGCACGTGTGAGTCTCTCCAGTTGCACACTTCCCCAACACAGTGCGGGGGAGGCAAGGGAAGTGTGTAACTGGCACTTGCACCTTTGGGAAGTATTTGACTGACTGTTGCACTCTTGTAAGTGTCGCAGAGTTGAACACTTGGGTTATTATCTGTGTAGACAAACAGACAGAGAGCAGGAGCACAGGTCGTCCAGTTCTCAATCAGACGTGGAGCTTGGAGCTACGCTATGTTACGTCTTGCTCTCCTCTTCCTGTCCCGGCTCCCGGGCCTACGGCCAGCAGACACCTCACCTCCGCACGGGGTGAAGTGAGTGAAGTCAGTCGAATATTCCAGCCACCGGATCTTTTGTGCCGGTGTTGTCGTGTGGGTCCGGGGCGCAGGGCGGCGCGACGTCGCTGGGCCGCTTCGCGCGCCCCGCCCGGGGGGATGTTGTGAGAACGGTCGCGAGCTGTTTAAGTGTTTCCCCTTTCCGCTCGTTACCCAGTTTTGTCTCTTAACGACGTTGTTCCCCCGCGCCGCCCGGCCCCGCAGACATCCAACCCCCGCTGGCGTTGCGTACGACGGAGCCGCGCCCCCGAATCAAAAGGGGTGCGACGCGCAAAGCTCCGCGAACAGTCAGCCCCTCTGTCTTCCTGGAGAGGCGCCCACGGCGATGATTGGGCCCCTTTCTCCCAGCCTCGGGGCCGTGAGGTGGAGCGTCTGCTCTGGAAATCTTTAGAGGCAGGATACAAAACTAAAAGGGTTGCGGGTCTTG